CACTCTGTCACTGTTGTAAGTGATTGTTCCTTCTGCCTCAACTAACAAGCAGTGTAAGAATTTTCTGCACTTTTCCATATTTGCATATTACTCTTGGATCACAAAATCTTTTATCTACATATTTAAATTCTAAAGTAGCTGTATAAGGTCCATCTTCAAAGATAAAGTCACATGAGCATCAACTTAAGGTGAGAAATGTATATGAAAAATATGTTACACGTTGAAAGGTGTGTGTATACTTACAACAGTGACAGAGTGTGTGGTTTAAGTCAAAAACTCAACCACTGAAAAGCTTTTATTATAGGACACAGCAGTTAGAAAGGCCTCTTTCTATTAGCTGCATGTCAGAAAGAATATTCTAGAGTGTTAAATAAAGAGCTCCAGTAATTAAATATTACCTTTTATGATAATGTTTCTGTGTTTAATGACTTTGGACAGAGTTCTAGCTCCAGAAAGATTACAATTTCTATAAGCCTTATTTGTCAATACACATATTGTGGCCTTAAGAAATTAATGGCAAGAAAAATAAATGCATGAATGGTTACACAACACACTCAAAGGATGTTAAAGAGAAGTTTAATGTGTACAAAATCATTCATTTTATTTCAGGAAATGAAGAAATGAACAGACCAAACTATTTGATTAAACATAGTTTTTTGACTAATAATATATTTTTAGCACTCTTCCATCTGTTTTGTCTGCTTGGGTCACTGAGATTTCCTCTGGGTCAGGCTGCAGGTAGGGTGTGTCATCGTATAAGGCAGAAAAGGGTATCTTTTGTCCTCCAGCAAGTAACAATGTAGTGCCCAGTAATGATCCTATTTTATAATACAAATATAATAAAAATAAACATTGTGTTAAGCAACATTTGCTTTATAGTTTTTTTTTTTACTATATTTGTGTTATACACTTGAATCATTACTTCCTGAAAATCAGCCATTTAGCCTCAACATATAGTGATGAGGTGGGGTGTGTGATGAGCTGGTAAGTGGAAGCAGTAATGAGTTTAATAGTTGAAACACCAAAAGATTAAGGATAGAAAATTAAGTTGTACCTGCACACTTATACTTTGGACAAATTTTATATTATCAGTGTCCTTTAGTGACTGATGGAGCTTTAAAATTGGCTGCAATTAATGCACACAATAGCATTTAGAAACCCTGAAAAAATATTATATTAAAAATGTAGGTGTGTGTGCGTGAATGTATATATGAACGACGTCCTACATCTTAAATTAAAGATATATTTTCCTACAAAAGACAAAGCTGCCACTTATAATATTATACAGAAAAATGTGAGGGTGCAGAAGGAGAGAAAAAACACAAGATCTGTAAGTGAGATTCGAACTCGCTCCGTTGTGCGCTCCGTTATTCTTTATCGACGCACTGTCCACTACGCTATTCCCGTGCTCTGAATCATCTGTGTAATGATACGCAGTAATGTATGACCAAGGAACTGTACAAAAGTGTAAAAAACAGTTCAGTGCCAGGCATACTGTACAGGTGGTCATACTGCCACATTGTACAGTTGCCTAAAATGCCCTGACGCGAATACAAAGAGCTGCACTGAATGTTTTTTATGCTAAGCCCAGACCCGCGGTTTGTCACATTTGATTTCAAAAAGTTTTGTTAAATACATTAACATTATGAATTTGGTTATGAAAAAAGCTATGCACTTATAACCCTCTCACAATGAAAAAACTTGTATCTGTGTGTCCACATCCATAAATATTCTCATCAAAAGAGCACGCAATGCTCAGTAAACTCTCTGAAACAGACAAACTCTGAAACATAGCAACTTACTCTCTGAACATAACCTGCTCCGGAGCAGGTTATCTTCAGAGAGTAAGTTGCTATGGCTACTTAACATACCCAGAAGTTACCTCCGATTTTGGAACCAAAGTTGAGGTTATCCACCTACTTACTCTCAAACTTACCCGGGTATGTCACATAACCTGCTTTCTGGAACAGCCCCCTGGTCTTGCCTTAGGTTAAGATTAGTTTTGGTCCTACCTTGCTCTCAAAAGTTTCGGTCTTGGTTTTTTGCTCAACACTCTGGTCTTGGTTGTGAATACTAATAAGAGTGTTGCAGATTGGCCGTTTATAAATATTTAAAATCCAAGACCTTATATGTTTAAGTAATTTTAAGTGGGCTTTAGAGATTCTGTTCTGGCGTTTTTTTGATGAAGTTTAAAAATTGCTGTTAGGTACCAAGGCTATTTTAAGAAAATGAATGAATGAATGAAATGCACAATAAATAAAAAACTAAACTAAATGAAACGTATAGCTGCAAGCAGCGATTAAGGGGCCATGCAGTTTGAGCCATAATGACTAAAAAGTCCAGAGGCCAAAAGCAACAACATTAATAAGTAGCATCATACCAAGTGAAACAATGAGGTTTTGAATACATTTGAAGCATGTTTCACTTAAAATATTAGAAAATCACGAAAACAATTAACATGATTAATTTATTATATAGGTGGCAGAGGTACAGATGTGATGTGTTGTGGTCAGTTTTAAGTGACAATGAAGAACCTAATGTCTGGTGACAATATATTTAAGCATTGGAAAGAGACCTCAGAAGCAGTTAGTCAAAATTCCAGCACATTTGTTGGCCTTTTTATCAAGTTTCAAAATAGCTGTTAAGTACTAAGGTTATTTTAGGAAAAGGACAATAAATGGAAAACTAAAACTAAATGAAACTAACAACAATCTCAGAAAAAACTGAAATAAAATAACAATTAGCAAAATTAATAATAGTTTTCTATATTAATAAGCATCAAGATTATATACACTCTTAGAAAAAAGGTACACAGTGGTAAATAATGTTTCTTAAGGAACGGTTTTGTACTATTGTAAAAGTTGTGCCTTATATGGTACAGACAAGTCATCTTATGATACTCTTCTGTACCTTTTATGGTACAATTTAAATAAAGCTACACAATTGTTGGACAACTTCTTTATCACAGTATTTATGAAAATAACTTACTGGAAAGGCAAAGCGATTTTATGAATAATTTTCTTATTAAAGATGAATTATCATTTAAAAGTATATGTTTAAAGAAACTCATAGCATTAATTATTAAGTTATATAATACAAAACAATTGGTAAAACAAAACTGTAGGTATTGTAAACTAAACATTCAAGGCATCTTAATAAACATTTGGTAAGCATTTTCTGATAAATACATTTTCACTATTGATATCCGCACCTTTTGGTATTTGCTTTCCTCTACGCACGCGAGCTCGCAAAAGTCCTGCATATGCAAAGTGTTCATGCAGACATTTTGCTATTGTAAAACTAATCTAACATTGTGCATATCTTGTTACAATATTTTTGCATAATTTTATTTCTATTTTAAAATGAATTAAATCAACTTTTAAGTGATTACAAATATATTGTGTGAAAATTAAGGAAACTAAAAGTTGTATATTGTACATGGGAGAGTGTATTTCTGTCACATTTTTGTGGAAAGTGTTGTGAAATGTTTAGCAAAAATGAGATCTTTTGATTTATGTTAAAGTTTTTTAATCTTTATTGTAAATGGAAAAGGTGCAATTACAACTTTTTTCAAAACATTGTTTGATGTTTTATATTTACAGAAAATAAATTGACCCAGTCGGATATAGCAAAATGCCTTATAATAATTCTTGAAGTAACACATTTGAACGTGTCTTGTCACTTTAGTGGTACCTTCATGGATTAGATTCATACCTTTGATGAAGGTACATTATTGTGTCTGCAGGTTTTAAAAACCAAAGGTACATTTTGGTTTCTCATGTTACAAACCATGTCTTTAAAGGTACAAACTGCAGTGGTACATTTTTTTATTCATTTTTTTTTTGTATTTTTATTTTTTTATTTATTTATATATATTTTTTGCCTTACAGTATAATTCTTTCCAAAAAAAGGTACTGCCCTAGTGACAAGGGTTTGTACCTTCTTTGGTACGACATTGTACCATTTTTTTGTGTGTACAGAAATATCTTTTCTATAAAGTATATACATACAATGTGTTTAATCTTTTCTTCATTTGCCAAATAAATAAATAAATACATATGTGATCTGTATTATGAAGAAATTTGTCTTAATTCTTTATGATTTTTAACTTTTATGTGTTTAAATAGTATCTATATGACTTTGGGTTCATTATTTTTTCCAACAGATGGTAACTCAGATGGTTTGTAGCAATCTGTCTCCTCAAACGGTTTGAGTTGCCTTAACTTATTGAGTTTTACAGTACTCAGTTGGTTTGAATTCTTTTCATTTATCGGGTTTTAATGTGCTTAAATTGCTTCGTTTTCTCAGTGAATTAAGTTCACAGTACTCATTAGGATTAGTTTTTGAATTTAAATGGTTTGTTGCAATCAGTTTCCTCAAATGGTTTGTTGCAATCTGTTTCTTTAAACGGCTATCTCAACTTTTGGGGTTTGACATTGTACTGTAAATAAATAAAAACTAAATAGAAATTCCATCACAAAATAAAAACAAAACTACAGTTTTCAAAACCACTCATCAAAGGAACTAAATCTAAACTGAAATTTACAAGCATTTTAAAAATGATACTGAAATAACTACATTTTAGATGGCAGAACTGTAATAAACTTTATTAAATAGAGCTAAGTATTCTTGTACTTTACGTGCGTTCAGTCTTTTCTGCTGTTATTTTATAAATAAAAAAGCGGATAAGAAGTTGGTGGCGTTTTAGCTAAAGGTACTGAAGAGGGCGCCATTGCTTTAAGGAAAACTTACTACATTTCTCCACATCGTGTGAACTGTCTTGAAAGTTGACTTTCAAAAATGTTGTTCTCTCCAACTGACACAGCATGGGCTTTTTAAAAATATGGTTTGACACCAAATCGTTAGTGACACACACACACACACACACACACAGTTATTCCAGCTCCAAAAATCCTCACCAGAGAATTATGAATTATATAGTTTCAGTCCCACTGATGCTGGTTCTCCATTGCTATGTTATTTTTTCTTTCTATCCTCAGGAGGGAGATTGAGAAGGCAAAAAAATCATGAGCAGGACACAAATGAAAAAAAGGCAATCTGTCTGGGAAAATCGGGGTGGCCGAATCATCATCACTGCCAGAAATGTGATCCCAGCTGCCTCATACATTGTTCAGGCAAGTTCAGTTTAACATCGCTAAATCTGCTGTGATACACACTCGTTATGAATGTAAACAATGGGAGACGAGGAGAAAGAGAGGGAGAGAAATACTGTTCACAAATGTAAACACAATCAGTGAGGGGAAAAAAATGCATATGATTGGTGTTTGTTTTGAGCTGTGACAAATTGTGCTGAAACATACGATACAGTCCTCGAACCCACAACTCTCCACAAGACCCACATTTACTCTGCTTGAGGGCTGTTTGTAAAATGTCAAAATTACACTTAAGACCTCTGAGAAATGTGGTTTGAAATAAGATAACGTACAGAGGAGGCGACAGATGGGACAGAAAATGAATACAAAGAGAAACATAAGCAAACCCTCCGCGATGAAAGACGTGAGAGATGTGAAGATGGAGCATGAAAGAGCTGCAGTTTGAGTGAGAGAGAGCTTCTGGTACTAGAGAGCTGGCCTGCAGAGGTCGAGTTCACTTCTCTTTGAGCTCTGGAGGATCGGGCTTCATCAGTGCCTTATTCATCTTTCTTTTCTTTGTTTCATTTGCTGCCCCCTTTCAGAAGGATGGCACGGATTGAAAAGAAACGCAAGCTTCCAGGTTTTTCTCATCTCTTGCAGATTGTCCTATTCAGTTTGATCCATTTGGTTGCTTTTAATAGGCACCCTCATTACAGGTGTATGTGTGAGAGGGATGATTGTCGGAAGATAATGTCTGGAGGAATGATTTGTCCCTGTTGCTGTCTGGCCCGGTTTACACTGTAATGGTTTCTGATCTTTTGACACATACAAAGATTAAGGTTATTGAAAAAAATCGACAGCAACATGATTTTCTTTCAAATATTAGGGATCTAACAGTACAATGAAATGGATCAAAATAATCAAATGATTGTAATAGTACTTATAAATGTATTGTTTTATTTTGACACTCTCTACAACTTCTGCACAACAAAACAAAAAAGCTATTGTAACAGCTTAAAATTACAGGTATAATAACCAAGCAGCAAATTTAGAGGAACTAGGGCTTTTTTATTTTGAAGCGGGAAAGTTTACCCACAAGATTACCCACAATAGCTCTTTGACTGGTTTTCTGGTGTATTGTTTATTTATTTTTCACTTTTGTCAATTAAGTTAAAAAGTTTTTTCCTTGCCACTTTCACCACTGGCTTGCTTAGTTTTGGACTTGGATTTGTTCTTCAGTCTTTGGACTCTCTGGACTGACACAGTTTCAATTTACTAGAACTTCTATGTTAAGCTGCTTTGACACAATCTACATTATAAAAAAGCTATAGAAATAAAGATGAATTGAATTGAATTATGAATCATTCACTGATTCCTCAAACCCCTCTTGCTTGACCATTACACAACTGATAGACTGTTTGTATGGAGGTTGGCAAAATATGCCCTGCCCAGTAATTGTGAATGGTCATATATCATGCATTTTACTCTGTAGACAGAGATGGGTTTTATTAAATGCAGTGCAAACACCAGTCTGGACGAAGAGCATTTTCATTCTAAAACACTGTTTAAAAATGAAACAAAACGAAAAGGCATTAACTTATACCTAAGTGTAAAAGGGCAATCCCACAACAGTGCAGATGGGAGTCTACTGTTTGCAATTTAAAGGACACAGATTCAGCAGTTATTATTTTTATAATGTCTAATGCAATGCATAAACCAGCTGAAGCTATGTTGCAAATAAATAGAATTAGTGATGATAAGGTGCATGTTACCTAATAACAGCATGGTGCAAAATTAATTATTCATTTGTAATGGATGCCAGTACCAGCTGAATTACCTGGGAAATACAATATAAAAGGAAACATGGTTTTGAAAAAGTACCTTATCTTGATATTTACCTTATAACATTTTTTCAAGGTTTGTTTTTTAATTTTACATAAAATTTTATTAATTTATTCATTTTTTTGCAGATTTATAAATACATATTTGTTCAAAATTAAATGATTTCTGGCAGCTAATATTTAAATTTTTCACCGACGCTTTAAATACCTCTGTAGAACCTGAGGCCATAATTTCAATATTTGTTATCACACCACACTCCTTATTTTTTAATAAATGAAGTTTCACAAACTAATTTCAAGAGGAGCATGTGATATTATCGACTACAGGTGATCCTTAGCTAGCATATTGGATTATTCCAAAATCACTACAAATATCCTGCCTGAATTTCATTCCCTATCTTCGTTTTGGAACCCCCCATAGACCTCTCCTCTTTCTCCTTCCTCCCTCCTCTTCAATTCTATGATCGAGCGACACGGTGGCTCAGTGGCTGTTGCTCCTGCCTCACAACGAGAGGGCCAATAGTTCAAGTTCTAATCGAGCCAGTCAGTACTGTCTGTGAGGAATTTGCATGTTTTCCCCATGTTCGCATCGGTTTTCTCTGGGTACTACAGTGAAGCACTTAACGCATACATACTGAATCAATTAGAACCACTATATTAACCAAAGTATAGGTAAAAAATGAACTGGGGGCTCTCGAGAAATACCTGATCTTGTATTGCTACTAATGCTCTTTGACCAGGTGGGAACCTTGGTCTCATCTATCTCCGAGCTCAGGGTTCTCTCCTAGGACAGCATGCCAAACCTCCTATCATAGTCGAGCATTATCTAAGTGTGAACTCTTGAAAAGTAAGATAAATGTGATTGCCTTTGCTACACTTTTAGCTATAAGGTTAATGTTGCTTAAATGGAAGGAAACATTTTCTTTTTTTGGATTAGTCCCTTTATTAATCTTGGGTTGCCACAGCAGAATGAACTTATCCAGCATATGTTTAACACAGCAGATGCCCTTCCAGTTGCAACCAATCACCGGGAAACACCCACACACTCATTCACACACATACACTACAGCCAATTTAGTTTTATTCAATTCACCTATAGCGCATGCCTTTGGACTTGTGGGGGAAACCGAAACACCCAGAGGAAACCCACGCGAACACGGGAAGAACATGCAAACTCCACACAGAAATGCCTACTGACCCAACCAGAGCTTGAACTAGCGACCTTCTTGTTGTGAGGCGATTGAGCTACCCACTGCATGGTGCACATAAATGCTTTCTAATAAATACACTTGTTAAATGTAATTAAACTGATGTATATGATTTCTGCAGTGTTAGCCCAGAACACATTCTCTGTCTGACAATTTCAACCCGCCTAAAATATTTTATATCTCAGAATTACTTTGTTTGCACTTATGTAAATGTAAGTGCTTTGTGGTCTTTGTTGCATGCAAATACATATTATATTATATTATATTATATTATATTATATTATATTATATTATATTATATTATATTATATTATATTATATTATATTATATTATATTATATTATATTATATTATATTAAGCATATTCACTTGACGGTCAAGGTGATTCAGAGTATCCGGATGAGCCTGTGTATTCAGCAGTTGTTATCTGGGAATAACATACTTTTGAAATGTCACGATTGACCTATCAGAATTGAGTGTTTCAGACAGCCGTGTAATAAATAAGGGACAATGAAAATCTAGGCAGACAAGTTGAATAAGAAAGAACAAACACAACTTGTTTTTGAAAAACCTAGATGTACATTATCCTGCTGATTACATTACTACTTGCCTCAAAACTGAACAGTTAGATAAAAATAAAACATTGATATGAGGTTTAATAATTTACTTTTTAATTAAACATAGCACTGACTGAACCAAAATGGCTGAATGCAGTCCATGCTAGCTATGTGGTCTTTGTTGCATGCAAATACATTTTATATTATTCCAATACAAAGAATATCAAAAGTCTGTCAGGCATAACCAGCAAAGTCTAAAAAAAAATGTATGGAATTGCTCTGTATTTTCCCCTTTCTCTCTCTTTTTGAATGAATTGTTTCCAGATTTGTCAAAGCTAAGCCCACAACTCAGCACATTTCTCCCTTTTTGATTTAAACTAGAATGCATTTTCTCTCTCGCCTTCTCTTCTTCAAAAAACCTTCTGTTAGTTTCTCCGGTGGCTGTCATTTAAAGAGCACCAAACGATCAATATGACAATGAGCCATTAGCCTCCAGCATTTATTCCAATGACTGTCTGGTATTGGAGTCTGAATTCAACTATGGGCTGGATGATGGGATGAGACCAGAGGGTCAGGCAGGTCTGTTCTCTTTGGCCTCTATTGATCCAGAGCCTTGAATGGACTTTAATAGACCGCATCAGCATGCTAAATATAAGTCCCCATATGCCCACAGAAGACATAAAAACAGAGATAAAGCTGCAGTGCCGCCATAGTTTTTTCATTTTTGTCTGACTGTCTCTGTTGCGCTCTCTCTCTCTCTTGCTGTTTTGATTATTATAGTCAATAAGTTATGGATAAAGTACATCCAGGAGGTTGTGATCACAGCATAAAACCATACTGCATGTACATTATTCTGCTTATTACACAGCTACTTGCTACAAAACATAAACATCAGATTTAAAACATTGTTCCAAGCCATAATAGTTTATTACTTCTTTAATTAACTCTTTCCCTGCCAGTGTTTTTTTTTCCCTTAAAGTTGCAAGCCGCTACCAGCGTGTTTGATGATTTTCATCTAAATTTGACAGCGCTCTGAATTTTTTTCTGCCAGGGAATATATGACCATATTATATATCAAAATAAAAAGACAACCCTCTGCTTAAAAAAAAAAAAAAAAGCATACCCTCTCAAGGCAGGCGTTGCAGATTTGCAACAGTTAAAAGCATAGATTTTGCCTGTTTCTAAAATTTAATTTGAGCCTGAAAGGGTTAATTCTTTCTTAATGTGTTCATGTTTTATACCCACTTAGGTGTCATGACAAAATCTAACATTTTTTTTTTTCAAAAAATAAAAATAAACAGAGAAAGTTGTATTTTTTTTTTAAGAAGTACATTTAGTACACAGTACATACATGCACATACTGTACATTTGGTCACACACACATACTGCACACACACAAATGGCTTCCCCTACCATAATATACCTAATTACCAGAAAAATACTTAAATACTGGATAGCCTTAAAACCTTGCCAATGGCAGGGAAGGGTTTGGTAACACTTTATTTTGATAATCAATTTGAGTATTAGTGGACTGTCTGTTTAATATCTGTTGATGCGGCTGCTGAACAGACATTTAACTGACTATAATAAACATGTAAACTTAAACTAACCCTAACCCCAACCTAACAGTCTACTTATAAGCTAATGAGAATTAATTGGCATGTAGATGCAATGTAACTTAAATTCAACAAATGGACCATCAAAATAAAGTGTGACCACTTTTCTCCTAATTAACAAGTTATCTCATTGGCGGCAGGGAAGTAAGCATAGACTAACCTATGTATTATTCATTCACAAAATGGTGCCAAACAGTCAAAATAACGGCATGACAAACAAGCGGACACACACAGTATGAATGTGGATTTAAGTAAATGGATTTGGAATGTATTCACTGATGGTCAAGGTGATTAGAGATACCCAGATGAGCCTGTGTTATTCAGTGATTGTTATCTGGAAATAACATACCTTGGAACATACCTGATGTCCTCCATTTGTGTTTTGCAAAATAAAGTATTTCATGAGGGTGAGTAAATGGTGTTTTTATTTTTAGGTGCACTATCCTATAAAGTTAAAACTATTCTGCTTTGAGCACAGTGTACTGCATTTTTAACAAAAGTAATAGGATATCATGGGAGAGAGGTAGATCACAGGTGTTTTGCTTTGCTGACAGAGACACACACGCACACACCCGCAGAGAAGCCGATAGATATGCTTCAGTCTGTTGAAAGAGGATGAGAATCCTTTGATAAGGCCCTATTGAAATAGTTCTGACCCCTGCC